CCTTCGGCAATATGAGGGGCAGAATGCTGTGGGGTCTTCACACCCTCAGCAGCAGCAGAAGCTTGATTAGTATCTTTGCTGCTGCTGCTGCTGTTGCTGCTGCTGCTGCTGCTGCTGCTGCTGCTGCTGGTGTTGCTGCTTGCATTCTCCTTCGAGTCCTCCTCCTGCTGCTGCTGCTGCTGCTCCTTTTGCTGCTGCTGCTGCTGCTGCTGCTGCTGATTTTCCTCTTGCTGCTGCTGCTGCTGCTGCGCCTGACCCCATGCTGCCATCTCTAAAAGAGTTGGGTAGGGGTAGCTGCGAGGAGACAGCAGCAGCAGAGACAGTCTAAACCCTAAACCCTAAACCCTAAACCCTAAACCCTAGACTCTAAACCCTAAACCCTAAACCCTAAACCCTAAACCCTAAACTCTAAACCCTAAACCCTAAACCCTAAACCCTAAACCCTTTAGAGATTTTAACCCGCACACACCGATCGCGCGCAGCTGCATCCGCCGGAATAGTGAGACGCTGAACACACCACAAACCCTAAACCCTAAACCCTAAACCCTAAACCCTAAACCCTAAACCCTAGAGACAGAGACACAGAGAGAGAGAGAAATACAGATGGAGAAAGACAGAAAAAGAGAAAACTAAAGACGGAAAACTAAAGATAGATATAAATCTAGGGTTTAGGGCTTAGGGTTTAGGGTTTAGGGGGTTAAGGGTTTAGGGTTTAGGGTTTAGGGTTTAGGGTTTGACTTGGTTCTGTTCCAGCTGCAGCAAAACCCCCATCAAGTTAAACTCGAAAACCTCCTGGGCGTTCTGTATACAATAACAACAACCCCACCATTCAGCTGCTGCTGCATGCATTGCTGCTGTCTTGCTGCTGCTGCTGCTGTCTTGCTGCTGCTGCTGCTGTCTTGCTGCTGCTGGCTTGCTGCTGCTTACGTAGTCACCAGCAGCAACAACACAGCAGCAGCAGCAACACAGCAGCAGCAGCAACACAGCAGCAGCAGCAACACAGCAGCAGCAGCAATACAGCAGCAACAGCACGAGATGAGCAGCAGCAGCAGCAGCACGAGGACAGCAGCAGCAGCTGCAGGGAAGCAGCAGCAGCAGCAAGAGAACAGCAGCAGCAGCAGCAAGGGGCCAGCAAGCGTACAACAGCAGCAGCAGCGAGACATCAGCATGAAAACAGCAGCAGCAGCAGCATCAGCAGCAAGAGAGCAACAATAACAACAACAACAACAACAACAACAACAACAGCAGCAGCAGCAGCAGCAGCAGCAGCAACAGCAGCAGCAGCAGCAGCAGC